TGGTTCCTACTTGGCTTTCTTTTTCACTCTATTTGAGAATGTTGTTGTGGGGGTCGGGCACGTAAACAATTTTTCATGGTTAATAAATCACAACAACATTGAGTTGATGGTATTTTTCCATGTTTTACAAAAGTCAATGTTGTTTCGGAATGCCTTTTGTTTTCCACACAGTTTCAGCATAAGTTATTGCCATACATTGTATATATCACAGCAAAGTCGATAGAGAAAGTTCGGCTTTTAGTTCAAAACAACAAGTTTTTTCAATAGCTGCCAAGTTATTGGATTGACCTTACCATAAAGGACATTTAAATTGTTAGGACTGGGCAAACTAAAAGAAATTTAAAACCTAAGAATATGTCAATTTTCCCAGGCATATATTGAGGTACAATTCCCAGAGAATGGACTAATACTATGGCACATCATGCTACAAATATTAAAAAGTTCTTCCTCATGTAAACTCAGGCCAATGGGATTTTATTCCTTTATAACAGTGCTTATATTTCAGATACCTTGTGGGTTGAAGCGATTTTGATATTCAGATATTGCTGAACAGGCATCTCCTTCTTTCATTGCCATATGGATTTCGATAATTAAAATATTAACCTAAGGCATGACGTGTATAATTAATTTATTTTGAAAAATGAGTACGATTTGCTATTTTCAGAAGAAAGGCGTTGCCATATCCCAATCTATAAAGCGTTTTTATACCCTCCACCATACTATGGAGGGTATATTAATTCGTCATTCCGTTTGTAACTCCTCGAAATACTCATGTCAGACCCAACAAAGAATATATATTCTTGATCAGCGTAAAATTCTAAGACGATTTAGCCATGTCCGTCTTTCTGTCTGTCTGTCTGTTGTAATTACGCTATCTTTCGAACGAATTGAGATAGAAGCCTAAAATTTTGCATACATGTATTTTTTGCCAGTAGTCAGGTTAAGTTCGTAAATGGGCCATGTAGATCCACGTTATCATATAGCCCCCATATAACGGTACCTCCCGATATTCCGTATTTTGATGATTTTAGCGACATTATCCACCGGAATTGTATCAAATTTTGCATTTGAAGTTCGAAATGGATACTACAGCCTAAGACAGAAAATTGTCTGTGCAGGTCCACGTCTTCGTATATCCCCCATATAACGGTGCCTCCCTATATTCGGTATTTTAATGAATTTTTTACCCGAATTGTTTTAAATTTGGTGTTTTAAGTTCGTAATTAATACTACAGCTTAGGGCAGAAAATTGTCTAAGCAGGTCCACGTCTTCGTATAGCCCCCATATAACGGTACCTCCCGATATTCGGTATTTTGATGATTTAAGCAACATTATTCACCGGAATTGTTTCCCATTTGAATATTGTAATGGCTTATGAAAGAAATTACCTATGCAGCTCCATGTCGTCGTATTGACCCTAATATAACGGCTACATTCGGTATTTCTAAGATTTTAAAGGATTTTGTTGTTTTTGAGAATTGCCAAATTCGTTCCAAATAGTGGAGGGTATTCAAATTTCAGGCCAGCCGAACTTACAGCTTTTTTACTTTTTATACCCTACATCATGTAACTCACTTTTCAACTGAATTCCTGCCCTATCCCTTCACCCAACACAAAATTTAGTAACACTTAGTACTTTTCGAACAATTAATGTACACATTTCCAATACCACCTCCATATCTAAACCACCGACACCATCAGTGAAATCTATACCAAATTTCATGATTCAGAACATTTCCTTCACCCAATACCAAATTTAGTACTATTTAGTACTCTTCGTACAATTTAAGGACACTTTTTCAATACCACCCCCACATTTCATCCACGGACACCACCATTTACATCCATATCAATTTTCAGGATTCCAGCTCTATTCCTTCATCTAATACCAAATTTAGTACTATTTATTACTTTTCGTATAATTATAGTACACATTTCAAATACCACCTCCTAATCTTAACCACAATCAGTGACATCTATATCAAATTTCATGATTTCAGAACAATTCCTTCACCCAATAACAAATTTAGTCCCATTTGGTACTTTTCGAACAATTACAGTATACATTTCCAAAACCATTTGAGGATTCCAGCCCTATTCGATTGGTATTGGATACCAAATTTAGTACTTTTCGTATGAATAAAGGACGACTTTTCAATAACACCTCCATATCTTGATCACGTACACCAATTGTAAAATCTATATCTCATTTCAGAATTGCAGCTCTATTCCATCATTCAGTACCCAATTTAGTACTATTTAGTACTTTCCGCACAAATATAGAACATATTTTCAAAACCACCTCCATATCTCAATTTCAGAGGCCTCTGTATCAAATTGGAAGATTTCAGCCCTATCTCTTCACCCATTACCAAATTTAATACTATTTGTACGAATGTCAAATAAAGACATCATCAGTAATCTAAGTATCAAATTTCAGAATTTGTTCTCTTTCCTCTCACAAAATACTAAATATACAGGCATGTCACAGAAGTTTTACGAAATCGATTTATTTCACCTTTTCCAAATCGTAACGATTTGCTTTTGCTTCTTCAGCACTCGTACGTTTTGACTAAACCGAAAAAAAAATCATTTCACATTTTTGAAATAAAAATATGGTAACTCCATGCAAAAAAAGTCGTAAACAAATTATTGACAATTAAAAAAAGAGTTTAAATTGTTTTTATAATATAAACACCAAAAGTAAAAATGCCAGGGGCTTCAATACTTGCTGTAATGGATGAAGAAATAAATCAGCGGTCTACTGAAAAAATTCGTCGCCGGACATTGAGGAACGCATCAGATCCTTTATCTCACTCAAATGCAGAGTAAGGATCCACCATTTTTAGTCCATTGTGTAAAATAATGTAAAGTTAAGAACGAGTCGTATTTGCTTTTTCCTGTTCTACAGCATATTTAAGAGTTTCAAGTTCAACTATTTTGAGTTTCATTTCGTTCCGTTCACGCATTCTCTTTTGCATTTCAATATTATGTAACTGCTCTTCCACATACTTTTTTTCCAGGATGTTACAAAGTCTGTCCAACTTTTCAGTTTGTTTTTTCATTTCCTTACTGTTATCTTCTAGAATTTTACAAATTTTTTCCAAGTTTTGTAAATGAGAATTTTCCTCAACTAAAAGCGCATTTAGATCTTGCTTTGAGGGAGTTCTTGCCCGGGGTCTTTTTACTGCAGGCGTGGGTTTTGCTTTTGTTAGGCTGCCCGACACTTGTCTTATTGGTGTAGATGGCGGAGGACACGATAAGCTTTTATTTCTAAGTCGTTTTTGAATAGGTGTTCGCGAACGGTTTTCTTCCAATGTTGGTGTTCTTGGATCAATTGCCAATGTAGAAACATTTTTAAAAGCAGGTGGAATGCATGATCTTGGTCTATCTTTTTTATTTAAAATCGAAGTGGTCTGCTTTGAAGTTTAGGGTGAAAAATTAAGCTCTTCGTTTTCAGATTCACCTAAAACTAATTGACTTGTTTTTCGAGTTCTTGGAATATGTGTAGATGATGACGAATCAAAGTTTTCTTTTTCAGAACAACTGAGGTCTAATTCACTTACAAAATCCGCAAAGCTTACTGCACCACCAACTCCATCGACACTTTTATACAATCCGCAAATTCTGATTAAACTGTTCTCGTGTTCACTGAAAACATATTGATTGATATCACCACCACCAGTTCCTCGCAAGTCCTTTTTATTATTTTTCATCATGGATTAGAAAAATAATAGATTTTTTGTAAAATAAATTCCAAAAACATGTTCATTCTAAGAGAATTTGGTTAATACAATATTTTCTGTAAAATGTATGTGTCTTCTGTTTATTTTTTACGTTAAAATCACTAAACATTTCAATTTCACCCTGCTTTTTGAAAGTGATATCAAAACGCAAAATTTTTGCGTTTTCCGTTTTTTAGAGAAGCTAAAACCGTTTTCGTTTTCACTCTTGAACGATTTTACATTCTGTGACATGCCTGATAGTACCATTCAGTATTTTTCGTACAATTACACCATACATTTCCGAAACCACCCCCATATGTCCAGGCTATACATGAACAGCGATCTCTATAACAAATTTAAAATTTCAAGCCCTATGTATTCACCCAATACCAAATTGTACCAAATATTGTACTATTTAGTACTTTTCGTGCACTTGTAGTACATATTTTCAACTCCACCTCTTTATCACAAAGCTATCACCAACAGCGATCCCAACACAAAATTTCAGCTTCATCCCTTCTCCCTTAACCAAACTGTTTCAAATTTAGTACAGTTCGCACATTTAATACACAATTCTAAAACCACAATCATACATCAAACTCACTTTTCAACCTCGACCTCAACCCTTCACACCAAATTTTCAAGTTTTTACCATTATCGGTTAATTTAATACCAAATAGTACATTTTTAAAGTTTTAGTACCATTTTAGAACTTTTCGTAAGCTTATACTTCAAATTTATAGTTCAATTTACAGTTTTTAGGTCTAACCGTTCACAAAATATCAAATGGTACCATTTTAGAACTATTACCTTAATGTTCGAATTTCCAAAGTCCTTTTGTGCATCTACCCTGCACTCCATCAGTGATTCTTATTCCAAATTTCAGAATTTAATCTTTTCCGTTTGTACAATACAAAGTATCCAATTTTTAGTACATTTTAGTACTTTTCGTTTCCTTTTAGTACGAAAATCAAAAAATCACAGCCTTATCATACGCCTCATACAAAATTTCAAGATTCTAGCTTCAGCCGGTTGATCTGAACGTTGATTCTCAGTCAGTCAGTCAGTCTGTTATTTCACTACTCTTTCATATATATAGATTGTCATAAGACGAGGGTGTACATCTGTCGCCGAACCAAGAACTTTTTTCTAACTTCTTATTTTAACATTCTCGTCCTCAAAAATCATTTTAACTATTTGAATCCTTTGCGAACTTACAGTTGTAGGATTAAAATATATATAATGTAATAAATTGCAATAAATTTCACACTTACCCACAATATTGAGATAGACCGAATGGCCAATTGGCGGCGTTGTTGATATTTGACACTCATAAATACCCGAATCCTTGCGCTGGGCATAACGTATGCGCAGTGTCCAATCTTCTGCATGCGGTGAATGCATAGCTTCAAATCTCTGATCTGATGTATAGGTATAACGACCGACCGTCAATAAATGAATGTCACGATGTCGCACCCATGATACCTGTAAATACAAAACAAATGAAATGCAATTTAAAACTAACTGACAAAAACAATCCATAAGCACTTCAAAACACATTTCACTGCAGTCAACAGTATTTCATTTGTTTTATTAGCCGTTAGTGAAATATGAAATACAAAAAAAAAAGGAAAAACAAAACATAAAAGGATACACATCTCTCGCGCTATTCAATGAATTTAAAAGTCAATTTAGATAGGACAATTGCCCCAATCACATGGATACTTAAACTTTGTGAAAACAGAGTAACAATAGAGGACAAAACAACAACAACAGCATCAGCATCAACAACGACGAAAAAATACAAAACAAAACAAACATTTTCATCTGTCATATATGAGCCACATACAATGGCATACCAGGCAGTAGTTGTATTTGTGCAATGAATGTTTCAAATTGGCTTTAGGCCAACAAAAGTTTTTTTTTTTTTTTAAAACAAAGACTGCCAGATACAATGCAAACAAAAATCAAATAAACCCCTTGGCATCGTGAACTTACCTACTCTACAAAGTGCTTTCTAATAACCCAAATAAATGAATGAGCGAATGAATGAATGAATGAATGAATGGACAAAGTTTCATTTTCATTCATAAACAATTGAATGAGAGAATGAAAATAAAAAAGAATAAATAAAGCACTCAAAGGTTATAAATGAAATGATAAATGAAATAGCATTTAACATTTATATGTGTGAAATCATAGAGTGTGACTGAAAGATATTAGGTGGGGTTAAAAATGTGGTCTAAATATTAGGGAAAGTGAAATAGCACAAAAATTAAGTTAATTACGAATCGGAGCCCGGTTAGAGGAAGGAATATAAATGACTTTCTGATTCTTGAAGTTTTTCAAAGACTTTTGAATCCCAACGTTAGTCAGCAAAGAAAGGACATAAGTCGGGGAGGACAGGCTTATGATGCCCTACACCACCATGACTAGTTTGTAGAGCTAGAGTTAGTCGGAGAGGACAGGCTTTTGATGCCCTACACCACCATGACTAGTTTGTAGAGCTACCTATAACAAAGACACATTTTTATTGGTACCTTATGTCATATGTGACCCCTCGTACAATATAAGATTGCTACAGAGCACATGCATTTGCTTCTTTGAAAAAAGTATTTGTAGGATGTTTTTTGGTATCGAAAATAATTATTATGGAGTGCATATTATGGCTGCCTAAAAGTTCAAATCGAATAAAACATAGGTATGGTAGATATAGCTATATTGAAAACGATTTTCCCCAAATTTGACACATTTGCTTCAAGTCTGAACTAGGTCGATATTAAGCAGGCTGAGGTAAAAAAAAACTGCAACCAGTTATTCGTGAAGGAATTTAAACGTGATGGCGTGGCTTCTTTATATTTGGCTGGAAAATCACAAGTGGCTATCGTTAGAGCACTCCAGCATTTAAATGTGAATAAATCTTTTGTGTCTCGTACCATCGCTCGTTACCGTGATACTGGTAGCGTAGCCCGACGGCAAGAAAGTGGACGGAAGAAACCAGCAACGTCAGTAGAAGTGGTTCGAAATGTAAAGAAGCGACTTGATCGAAACCCGCCTCGCAGTGGCCGAAAATGGCTCGTGAGCTGAATATATCACAATATTCCATTCGGCAAATGTTGAAAAATTAGCTAGGAGTGAAGCAACTCCAAAAAGTGCAAGAACTTACACCACAACGGAAACAAAATAGACTTCGCTTAGCTGAAAGTGGTGAACTGCCGAATTTGGTTTTCTCCGATGAGAAGACATTCGTTGTCCAGCAGTTAGTAAGCAAACAAAATGATCGTGTTTACTTGCCAAAGAGGTCGGTTGGCCACCACAACACAAACGCCGACCATGGCGATGGTGTGGGCCGCCATAACAGTCGATGGTCGCTCTCTGCTCGTATCAATTGACCGTGGCATCAGAATAAATGCCGAATATTATCGCGAAAATATTTCGGAGGGTGTATTACATCATTGGGCAGGCAAACATTTTGGCCGCAGACCTTGGACATTTCAACAGGACTCTACACCATCGCACTCAGCATACGCCATCCAAGAAAGGTTACAAAATGAGGGTCCTCGCTTCATTTCCAGCGCACAATGGCCACCAAAATCTCCGGATACAAATCCGTTGAACTATTGTGTCTCGGGTATTTGGGAAAGCAAGGTTGGCACTAAAAAATGCCAAAGTGTCGATCACTTCAAGCAAACACTTCGCCGGGAATGAACCAAAATACCGCAGAGCAACATTGGCGCAGCGTGTGACGGTTTCATTGGCCGTTTGAACGTTCTGACATTTTTTGCTTTCATTTAATAAAATTAAAAAAAAAATATATTAAAGACTATAGTCGTGCGGGGCCGACCATGTGATACCCTACAACACTACTATTGCCCTTATCAATTTGAACAGGCACATTTGCCCAATATTTACGCACTCGGTCGTGATGTTAGTTGTTATGGTCCATTTTACAGCTAAATAAATTCCAATGGTCATCCAAAATACTAAAATTCTTCTCTATCCTTAACTTTTTTCTTAGGCGTGTCGATTGGCTGCAATTGTGTGATCAGGGAATTTTTTATGTGTTTGGTCTATTTCAACCCCTAAATATATTGCGGACATCTTTGAAAACAATAGTTTAGCACTTTTGAGCCTAACCCTACCCTTGTGAAAATTTTCGTGGGGATCGGACGATAATTGCAACCTATATATAATAACCCTAACCTGTGTTGTAAGGTTAAAAAATATTACAAAATATTCACTTCAATACTATAAGTAAAATTGAAAAAATCGCATGCGATAAAAAAAATAAAAACCAGTAAAGAAAGTCTTAAAGTCGGGCGGGGCCGACTTTATGATACCCTACACCACTTTGCTAATTTAGTTGAGCTGCGCATAACAATTAAAAGTTTTTATGGGAGAATTCAATCATACACGCTATGATTAGTATTATAATTTAAAGTTCAAAGAACTAAATATGCCGAAGCATTTGTATCTTTTAAATTCTGAGTTGTATTGCCCATTTGGTGCACAATTAATCTGAAATCGGATAAAAATATATATGGGAGCTTTGATATATTTCCCTGAATATCGTTGTTACGGAGTGCATATTATGGCTGTGGGTAACAAATATGACAAATCGGATGAACAGTATATATGGGAGCTATAGCTATATCTGAACCGATCTTCACTAAATTTGACAAACTAGCTTCTAGACTCAATTCGGTCGTATGTGCCAAATTTCATCCAATTTGGGCAAATATTAGACGTTTGGTGCACAATCCAATATAAATCGGACGAAGTTATATGTGGGAGCTATATCCAAATCTGAACCGATCTCGATAAAATTTAGCAAATGTATTTCTGAGCAGTATTTGATAAATTTCACCAAATATTGTTGTTACAGAGTGCATATTACGGCTGCGGAGGACAAAAATAACAAATCGGATAAACAATATATATGGGAGCCATTGCTATATCTGAACCGATTTCGATGAAATTTGGCATACTTATTTTGAGGTCCAATCTGATCGTACACGCGAAATTCCATACTCTTCGGACTGATATTACACGTTTGGTGCACATTAAAAGGCAAATCGGACGAAGATATATATGGGAGCTATATCTAAATTTTGACCGATTATCTCCAATTTCAATAAGGTTCGTCCTTGGGCCAAACAAATGATTTGTGCAAAATTCCATACTATTCGGACTGATATTACACGTTTGGTGCACAATAAAAGGCAAATCGGACGAAGATATATATGGGAGCTATATCTAAATTTTGACCGATTATCTCCAATTTCAATAGGATTCGTCCTTGGGCCAAACAAATCATTTGTGCAAAATTCCATACTATTCGGACTGATATTACACGTTTGGTGCACAATAAAAGCAAATCGGACGAAGATATATATGGGAGCTATATCTAAATTTTGACCGATTATCTCCAATTTCAATAGGATTCGTCCTTGGGCCAAACAAATCATTTGTGCAAAATTCCATACTATTCGGACTGATATTACACGTTTGGTGCACAATAAAAGGCAAATCGGACGAATATATATATGGGAGCTATATCTAAATTTTGACCGATTATCTCCAATTTCAATAGGGTTCGTCCTTGGGCCGAACAAATGATCTGTGAAAAATTTCATCTGGATCGGGCAATAAATGCGACCTGTACTTTGTTTACAAAAATACATGGACAGACGGACGGACGGACGGACGGACGGACGGACGGACAGACGGACGGACGGACATGCATAAATCGACTCAGAATGTGATTCTATGCAGATCATCAAAAGGAACTATGGGTCTATCTCGTTTCCTTTTGCCTGTTACAAACAAATGCACAAAGACATTATACCCTGACCACCTTGTGGTGTAGGGTATAAAAATGACACAAAATACTACAAAATCTATATTAACATCACTATTGGCATCTTTTTATGCTTCAATGCCAGGAGGGCATTCTAAATTAACAAAAATTTTCAAAGTCGGTCCAACCATTTTTCAAATATAAGCATTCTAGCTAACATTCCCTTCTTTTGCATATAGACATTGTACATATTTCGCTATGTATATCCGATGTATTTACTATCGGCATCTACATAACGATCAAAATTGAACTGTTCGTCTATTTGTGATTTCGTTGCGATTAAAAATATTCGCGGTTTAATGTAAATTTTGACTTTTATTTAACACAAATGTTATAGTCTATTTCACCCTTTAAATATTAGCAGATGATCATATTGGTCTATAATTGCAACTACAAAATCAAAAAATTTTTCAGTTTTTGGTCCATTTCATCCCCTAAACATTATGCGATCATCTCCAACAATAGGGTTATATTCCGACCCTATCTCCACCTCCATTTTAAATTTCATGATGATCGGGCCATAATTGAGACCTGTAGCGTGCTTACAAATTAACATGGACAGACGGACTATGTGGGAAACCAATTTTTCGTGGTGTTACATAATTTTTGGCGCAATCAAACCTAT